CGGTCACAGATGCCTTCTAACTTACTTTCAGTGCGTTTGTCTAAAATAGCATCTACCTTTCGTACTTTCAAGGTCTATTGATTGCCCCCTTTTTTCCCTCTTTTTTATTTAAGAAAATTTTCCACTCATTCTACACAACAACTGCAGATTTCCCTCCCATCCCTCCTCCCACGTCCCCCAAAGTTCCCCCCCAAACTCACCCTCCATCCCCTCCTCCAAAAGGGTAATGGCTCCCATGGTGAGTCAGCAAAGCCTGGTACATTCAGTTGAGGCAGGACCAAACTCCATCCCCCTGCATCAAGGCTGAGCAAGGTGTCCCACCATAGGTAATGGGCTCCAGAAAGCCAGCTCATGCACCATGGATAGATCCTCATCCCACTGCCCGGGGACCCTCAAGCAGACCAAGCTACACAACTGTCTCCCATATGCAGAGAGCTATAGTAATAAAAACAACTTGGTATTGGCATAAAAACTGACACGTGGACCAATGAAATCAAGTTGAAACCCCAGACATTAATTTACACACCTATGAACACCTGAATTTTGACAAAGAAGCCAAAACTGTACAATAGAAAAAAGAAAGCGTCTTCAACAAATGGTGCTGGCATAACTGGATATCAACATGTAGAAGATTGCAAATAGATCCATATCTATCGCCGTGCACAAAACTCAAGACCAAGTGGATCGAAGACCTGAACATAAACCCAGTCACACTGAACCTGATAGAAAAGAAAGTAGGAAGTAGCCTTGAACGTATTGGCGCAGGAGACCACTTCCTAAATATAACACCAGTAGCATAGATACTGAGAGCAACAATGAATAAATGGGACCTCCTGAAACTGAGAAGCTTCTGTAAGGCAAAGGACACAGTAAATAAGACAAAACAACAGCCTACAGAATGGGAAAAGATCTTCACAAACCTCACATCTGACAGAGGGCTGATCTCCAAATTATATAAAGAACTCAAAAACTAGACATCAAATCCCCCCCCCCTTTTTTTTTTTTTTTTTTTGGTTTTTCAAGACAGGGTTTCTCTATGTAATTTTGGTGCCTGTCCTGGATCTCACTCTGTAGACCAGGCTGGCCTCAAACTCACAGAGATCTGCCTGGCTCTGCCTCCTGAGTGCTAGGATTAAAGGTATGTGCCACCACCACCCAAAAAGCCCCTATCTTTACTAGAATTCTAACTATCTATCACAGCATACAAATGTATTTTCACCTGATTCCTCACCTGTTCCCATTTCTCTCACCTCCTGGGGAAAGTCCCATGTGGCACGAACTTCTAAAGGTCTTATAATAAAAACCCGGAGCCAAATATTAGAGTAAATGCTGAAAGATCAGAGAGACAAAGGAACAAGCCACTAGAGACACTTCTCCTCACTACTGAATCCTCAGGCCAAATGGAAGACGAGATCCTATCTCCATGAATCCTCTGATTGAAAGCCTCTGAATCCTCAGCCGAAAAGTTTCTAGTTCCTATCTCCTCACACCTTATATACCTTTCTCCACCCAGCTATTTCACTTCCTTCCTAGTGCTAAGAATAATGGCATGTGTGCTTCCCAAATACTGGTAGCAAAGGCATGAGATCTCAAGTGTTGGGATTAAAGGTATGTAACTCCCAAGTACTGGGATTAAAGGTGTGTGTCACCACTGCCTGGCTCTGTTTTCTCTCCTAGACTGAATCAATCTCATGTAGTCCAGGATGACCTTGAACTCACAGAGATCCAGACAGATCTCTGCCTCCTGAGTGCTAGGATTAAATGTGTGTGTCACCACTGCCTGGACTCTATGTTTAATCTAGTGATTGGCTCTGTCCTCTGATCCTCAGGCAAAGTTTATTTGATACACAATGTATCACAACAGTCTCAATTTTTCCATCTGTGATTAAGCTCCCAGCTTGTTTCTTGGTCTTTCCGTGGGGCTTCCTGCAGCACATCATCAGGATTCTCCTTTCTGCTGGACCCATATTGTTTTCAGTTTGTGAAGTCTTGTATGTCCTAAGTTGTTTATTCTAAGATGTATTCCAATTACACCTTACTGTCATCTTCTCCAATTGAAATTTAAATGTGCAGAACTCTTCTTCACTTACATTGTATTAATCTCTTGAAAGTAAGATGATCTAGTTATCCCGTGACTGCATTTCACTGTTCTGTTTTTCTGGATCCTTTAACTCTATTGTTTCCTCTCTTTGAAATGCTTTTCTCTTTAGTTTTCGTGACGTCTGACTTTTTCCTGTCTTCACCATCATCACACTCAGTCAACAGCACCATCCTCACAGTGGATACAGAGAACACAGAGATTTGAGAAATGTTAAGGGGTTAAAGTGATGTCATTTGGTGATGCAATTGACATGGGTGAGAGATGGAGATACCTGGTGTGTACAGTTAGATGGATGGTCAGTGAGGTAGGAAACACTGGATGAGTTTCAGACTTCTTAAGGAGAACCATGATTTGTTTCTGGATACTTTGGATTTAACCACTCTTGAGACACCTGTATTTATCACAGTCCTGCCCTTCTCTGACCTCGTTTCCTGGGCTTCCACTCAAACACTCTAGCCCTCCACCTTCTGTGTATAGCAGATCACCACTGTACCCTAGATCACCACTAGGGAACATGCTCTACATGTGCTGTTCTTTCAGAACTATCAGCCACCATTCACCCACACACCTACAGACACTCCTGCACAGGTTGCTGGAATCCTATTCCAACTTAAATCTAGATATGAAATCTTAGTACCCTACTCAGTTCACCAAAATGGATTCAATTATCCTCTCCTTGTCATTTCTGTAACAATTATATTGTTTTAGTTTTGACACTTGCTATATGCTCTGTGTGGTTTTTAAATATTAGTGTTTATATAATTCATACAATCGAACTTGGTTGAGTAGAACAGCACTTAGTTCAATGCCTTCAACATAATGAGGTATCAATAAGTATGAATTGGATTGAACTACACACTTGGATTTGTGTTCAAACAACATAGATAGGGGGAGGTTCAAAAGAGTGTGATGCTGAAAAATCTGTAGATCACTTTTTTATGTAGATTTTGGAAATAGCATAATTTAATTTTCATATAGTTCTGCCATATAGCACTTGGCATGTAGAAAAATCTGACAGATCAGTGTATACATATTTTAAAATGACTTGATGCTAGAGACATGAAGTTGGCCAGAACTATAAATAGTCATGGTTGAGGAGATACTCAATAATGCAAGAAAATTGAAACATTTTGGATAGTCTTGTGAAAAACTAGGTCTTCATTTTTAAAATACTCAGTATTATACCTTATCATTTAGAGGATGTTTGCCTACTTAAACACTGGAACATTTAATTTATTTCAGCAAGCATATTATCATGTTAAAGACAATAATGAAAGCCACCAGTAATCTTCCACATCTTTGAATCCACAGATGAGAATATGCATGAAACTAGGTTTTCACACTCTGGTAGAAATTATGAGCATATATCCACTTAACTAAATGTGAGAACTTCACTTGGGTATTCTGTCAAGTTTGCTAATGATTCCATAGGCCAGTTGTATCTAGGTCTACCTGTGAAGGATAAGTGGAATTTTCCCACACATTGATGGGAAACAGTTCTAGGTAGGGAAAACAGAGAGGGTGTAGTACAGAGTCCTTAAAATACCTAGCCTGTTGGAGGATGCTCTACCTAGAGATGGGCAGTGACACTAAAAGTGCTACAATGCTGTGAAGGCCATGAGTTCCATGCCAGGAAAATTTTAAGTTTTTCTATAGACTATTAGGCACCACCTGGGATTATTAAGCATCATAGTAACCACATTTTGCCTAAGTTTTTTGACAGCCAGTACCAAAAGTATCACAGAAAATTACTTCACAGAAAGGCAGGCTGGGCCTCAGCCAGCTAAATATCGACCTTCTGCTCTTCACCAGCTGTTCCTTGTCATTCTCCAGCAAGAGTTTTTATGCTTAATGGACTCAAAATAATGGATGAAAAGTCTAGAGTCTGTCCTCAGTTAATTGGATAATTGGATTTCTTTTTCCATTTTTTAAAAGAATATAGCAAAACAAATTAATCTTTTCAGATAATAGGGGAATGTACCAGTTGATACTTTCTGGATTCAGCAAATGTGGGGGGAAACTATGCACAAATCCTGCTAGAGGAATCAGGAAGTATCCTGCATAATTTCTTTCCTGTTGAGCAGGCCTTACATCCAATTAGGTAACTGTTGGTTACCACAGAGATGTAAGTGCCACTCTTGTACCCTCAGGTATAACTTGACCTGCTGGCCATTGTTGAGGATGATGGGCATTACACCTGGATAGGACTACTGATTGCTTTCCTTTCTTAGCAGCTTGCATAGAACCTTCTGGATCTACAAAAATGCCATTGAGTTTGTTTTGAAATGGCTATCTACTGCTTGGCATAGGACTTACCATTAAGTGTCATTAATATACTCAATGACACTCCATTGGAGGAAATTGTTTTTTCTTTTGCTGAAAGGTGTCAGTTTCAGATAGCTTCTTTGTTAGGAGTGAGAACCTTGGGGCCAAAACTGAAATCATTTTTCTACATACTCATTTAATATTTCAAAATTTCTAATGTGTATTTCTATTAAATTGAAAATGACTTCTACCACCAGTGGCCTAACAATATGTCAGAAAAAATCAGACATCATGTGAATTCAGGTGTTCCAAACTCATCACCTTGTAATAGTTTCAGTCACATATAAGAATGTCAATGATACCACATATTTTTAACAAGTTTACATCCTTTCTTTCCCATTTCAAATGACTCAAGAAGGGTTCATGAAATGATGACCCTTTGATAATTTGTGAGGCACTGTAAGTTTAATATGTGTGTTTTCCTAATGCAGAAGAGAAAACTAAAGATAAAATATGTATTTTCTAGTAAACAACAAACAGCACAGAAGAGTTTTTCAGTCCCATGTGTATGTAAAACTTACTTCCTCACTGATCAGCAATAAGTTCCTAAATCAGAAATATATTTTCTTCACAGACATGAACGTATTCATACCAAGAAAGGAAACTTAAATAGATCTCTCATTTCCAGTCTGAAGGATGTAGATGACTTAGCAACCCTAGATGTTTTGGATGAGGTAAGAATTGAGTTAGATTAAGTTTAAGCATTCTAATTTTTTTTTTACAAAATTTAGAATTATTTATTGTATTTTATATGTATGAGTGTTTGCCTACTGTATGTCTGTGCACTGTGTGCATGTCTGGTGCACAGACATGAACAGAGGAGGACAGAAGAGGGCATCACTTCCTCTGGAACTGAAGTTATAGGTGGTTCTGGGTTGTCATGTGGTTACTGGGAATAGAACCTGGGTCTACTGTAACAGCAACAAGTACTCTAAATTTCAGAGCCGTCTCTCCATTCCTTCTAGATTTTTTTTAAAGAACTGCTGTGTACAAAAGATTCTTTAAATACCATCTGTAATATTATATATGTTCTCTCCCACCATGTGTGTATGTGGGTGTGTGTACATGCACATGTTTGTGTGTGTATGTATTTCTCTCTGTGTATGTGTCTCTTTCTGTATTTTTTGAGGCAGGGTCTTCCTATGTAGCCCTGGCTGCCTTGGAACTCACTATGTATTTCAAGCTGTCCTCAAACTTGCATCAATCCTCCTGCACCCACCCACCCATGTGCTTGAGATTATAGGCATGAGATACCATGTCTGGCTCATGTCCTATCCACAAAAAACACAGAAGAATGGCATTCAAGAAGGTACACACTAAGAGGCCTTCATTACTGGCAGTCAAGAGCAGAGTCACGCTGAAGACTCTTGACCTGGAGAGAGACAGGGTAGGGTTTATAAAGCCCCAGAACAAATGACATCATACCAGAGGTGGCCTGGTGATAGAAGTTTCCAAAGCTGCTGTTAACAAAGGTTTTGAACGTTCAGTTGATTACAGCAATGGACTGTCTGAACCTGCAGGTGTTGCTTGACTAGAATGTTCTGTTCAGCAGGATGTGGTTAGCCGCGCTGGGGAGAGGTTGGGTGAAGGGCACAAAATGGAGTGAACTAAAGCAAAATAGGATTACCTTGGTCAGTTTAGTTCATACTTCGTCTCTTCTTATCTCTTCTGTCTTTAAAATATCACATTTCCACCTTTCTGGCCCCTTACCTATTTTTACAAAGAAGTGAGGTCTCCTAAACATCAGTTATTGGGTTACAAATGTTTCTTCTCAGTCATTTCTGGGAATCTCAAAGGTATGATTTCCTCATAAGAGAGTCATCTCTACTTTCTCCTTCCTCTGCCAGCTCTCAGTGGCAGGACACAGAAGCCCGAGATGCCAGAGCGAGGCTATTACCCATGGTTCTCCTCACACATCACAAAGCTTGTGCTCACACTGAGGACATTTCATTGTGCTTGAAACTCCTTGTTCTTGTTGCCTTAAAAGCATTTCAAACATTCCTTGTGAAGGTCCAAGCCAGTAAACCGCCTGCTCGGCCTGTCTCCCCATCCCTCTGTATTCCAGATAAATCTTGTCATTAAAGAAAAAAATGGCTCCATTGAGTACGGGATAAGACCTCTGTCCTGTCTGATCAACAGCACTTTAGTTTTTAATCCTTTTGATTAAAGCCTGAGCATTTTACTCAGAAATTCAGCAAACCCAGAGACATTCTAAACAGAAGCAATCTGCTGTAGTTTGCATCCGGAATGTCCCTTTGAGGTCCACTGTTAAATGTTTGGTCACCACCCTGTGCCTCTATTGGGAGACAGTGGAAACTTTAAAAGATGGAGCCTGGTGAAAAGTCTTAGTCCTTGGCCCCAAACTCCTTCTCTCTGTGTGATATAAATGACACATGTTTCCACCATGATGTATAGCTCTATCCAGAAGCAAAAGCAAGGGATTGAATACCATCCCAAGCCTCCAAAATAATCCATTTTTTTATGAGTTGTGTATCAAGCATTTGTGGAGAGGTAATTAACACAGTCATTCAGTAAATTCAGGGTAAATAAACAACTTTCTCAAAGTAACCCCTCAGGATCATTACAGATCTTGAAATCAAATAGCATTTGTAAGGCAGAAATTGCTCTTACCTTTCTGAATCCTTTCCTATCAAATCACCCAGTACTGTGAACACCTAGGCTTGTGAATTGTGAACATTTCACCAATCATGTTATTGACCAGTGTATTAATATAGTACATCTGTTGTCTAGGTTTTATATTTTTGTCCTTTTGAGACTTCAGATCTTTTACTTTTATTTTGTGTTGTGGACTGCCCGTGATGGTTGCAGCACTGTTAAAATCAATTCATACAGTCATGTGATCAACTGGAAAGGTTACTTTCTGAATTTTTTACTTCACATGCCCTAAGCAGAAGACACAGCACCATTACATCACCTCGAATTGTAATAAAATCGTGCACACTTTCCTCTTTCCTTTCTAGATTCTACTTTATCTCGCCTACTACACTGATTTATTTCCTTGAAGGCTATATGATATATAATTTAACATAGTGTATGTAGATATAATATACAAGATATAACTGGCAACAGTATATCCTTTGTAAAGTGCACTTGAGACTGGCATTTCAAGTGGGCATGGCAGTGCATACCCTTAGTTCCAGCATTCCCAAGGCAGAGGCTGTAAGAGCCCTGTGAGTTCCAAGCCAGACTTTCTGCATAGTGAGACACAGTGAGGCCAGCCAGGGCTGCATAGTAAGACCGTATGTCAAAAAAATACAAGATGTTTTAAAAATGATATTCCTCTTTATCTCTCCAAACCAAAAAAAAAATTACCTTTCAAGTTTACAAGCATGATTTACAAGCAAGGTTTACAAGCATGACGGCATTTTGTTTGCTATTAGTATCTCTTTCTAATCCTTAGTCAAGATTCCAGATATTTTTTATTAATTCCTGTTTAGTTTTTAAAGTGTAGTTAAACACGAATTATTTTCTTTTCTTCTCTTCTCCCTATCCCAGACTCTTCTTATTTATCTTTGACCACTTGGGGTCCTCTTGTCTCCCCATCCTACGTACTAGGATTCAAAACCTGTGCTGCCATACCTGACTGAAACTGACCTGAGGGAAATTGTTTTATTTTGCTGCAGAACACAGTATCTGAACACCTTGAGAAGTGTTATTCCAGAGATCAGATCTACATCTATGTGGGAGACATACTCATTGCACTTAACCCTTTTCAGAGTCTGGGTCTTTATTCCACAAAGGTATGCGTGAGGCTTACATTCCCTTTGTACCAATAACTCTAGTAGTCATATTCTTAATTTAAGTGGATGCCAGCGAAAATATTACCCAGCACTTGGAGAAAACTGTTACATATTTATCACTCAAACAGACATAGACATAGGAAAAATATATGAAATCAATATAGGTACTGATTACGGTCATTTTTTCCCCAAAAATATATGAGATTGTGAATTACATGCAGTTTTGCTAGTAATAACCTATCCCCAAATGATGTCTAAAAATGAGTATACTTAATGTCTGTTTGCAAATTGAGCATTGGAGAGTCAAAACATAGTTATACTGTTTGTATGTAAGATACATATGGCTGTAAAATTTGTCATTGTAAGATTTTGAATTCCTTTTAACATGTTAATTGGTTCATTACTATCATACAATGTATGCTTTATGAGTAAAAGTGTTTAATTATCAATTACTCAGCCACTAAAGCTTTAAATATGGAATTAAACAAGACTATTTTTCATTTTTAATTAGACCTATTGTCCTTTAGCTATCTGTGTACTCTAGGACATTATTTAATATTGTGCCTAATAGCTCATTTAAATGCCAACCTAAAATGTACAGGATAATGATATGTTTACCAGCAATGGCCCAGGCTATTAAAAAACAAGATTAGAGTTAGTCAAATTCTGCTATCAATTAATTGTACAATTTCACAAAAATCAAGTGAGATTATGCAGACTAAGTCAAGGTATGGGGAAAAGGTGTCAGATGTTAAACATTGCCATATCCAAGAATTAGTCAAAAAATGACCACTGATCCTATTCTTTGTAAAGTTTTTCATGTAAACAAATAATCACATATTGAAGCCTTAAGTTCTACTTTGGAAATAGCATGTAGAATCATTTAAATGCCACCACCCTATCATGCCATATTATATCCCATATATGGGCTGGCTCATATATAGATATAGATAGATACAGATATGTATACACACTATATATATATTATATATATTATATAATATTTATTCCATATTTTATATATATTCCAATATTTTATATATATTATATATAATATATATATTATATATATTATATATATATGAAAAGCATGTGTGGATAATGTTTTACTCAGATTTTTTTTAAAACCTTTTGCTTCCAAAAATAGAACTCTATATGTAAATAATCTGCACATTAAATAAAAACAGACACAAGACAAAAAAAAAACTCTATAAGGTTTATTCACTTTGACTTCAGCTTTCTAAGTTGTATATTGGAGCAAAGAGAACTGCCAACCCACCTCACATTTTTGCGATGGCTGATTTGGGATACCAGTCTATGGTCACATATAACTCAGACCAGGTAAGGCAGGCTTCCCACATCCCTTACTTTGTTGAGAGCCACTGAGTTTCCTGAGGATGCAGTCCTCTCATGGAGTCCTTTCTTTCCTGTGCAGTGCATCGTTATTTCTGGAGAAAGTGGTGCTGGGAAGACAGAGAGTGCTCATCTTCTGGTTCAACACCTCACTGTGCTTGGAAAGGTAGAATTATTTTTTTTCCTGTTCTAACAGAAGTATTTGTGTATTTCAAATACCTGGTTATCTTAGTATTCATTAACTCTCGTACTTGATAATCCATGGAAATGATGAAACACAATTGTTATGAGTTTTAAAATACATTAAATGGGAGGGAGAGAGCTCAGTGGTTAAGATCATTGACAGCTCTTCCAGAGGACCCAGGTTCAATTCCCAGCACCTGCATGGTAGATCACAACCTTCTGTAACTCCAGACTCAGGGAATCCAATGTCCTCACCTAGCCTCAAAGGTCACTGCACACACATGGTACATAGCCTTACGTTCAGGCAAAACACCTGCATGCATAAAATAAATAAATATATATTTATTTAAAATGCATGTGCCCTCTTCTGGCACTTCTCCAATTTTCCTCACTCTTAGGTGTCAAGCCTTTATGTGTCATTTCCTCTCTGTAGCCTCAGTGCACTAAGTGAATACTTCAGTAACCATATTCAGTTACAGATTAAAGCTCAATCATGTCATGTATAAAGCACTAAAAAAAATAAGAACTGTGTAGATTTAGATAATACAAAATCTGAAGGAGATTAAAATGTAAAAAATAAGTAACAGGTGCACCATGCTTGTAGACATAACTAATAATTCCTAAAATGCTAAACCTCCACGAAACCATCTTCAGATTCAATGAGATTACAATAAAAATCATAGAAGTGGGGGTTTTGCACAGCAAATTAAATGTTATCTTCATCATCATCATCATCATCATCATCATCATCATCATCATCATCATTTGGCTTCTCCCCATTCACTTTGGCATGTCCATTGGCGTCATCCTTGTTCACCTCACATTCGGGCAGTCATGCTGGTGAGACTTCATGGATGTAGCTTCTGACGTTACTAGGAGACACAACATCACAGAAAACTCCCTAATCCTCTGGCTCTTATCAGCTTCCTGCCCCCTCTTCTCTAATGTTCCCTAAGCCTTAGGTGTGGGAGTGTTTTGTAGATATGTCCACTGGGACTGGGCTCCACCACTCAGCATTTTGATGGGTTGTGGTTTTCTGTAACGGTCTCTATCTGCTGCAAATAGAATAGAGGCGTGAGTACCACACTTATCTGTGAGTGTAAGGACAAACGTTTTTATACAGTTGTTAGGGATTATGCTGGTTTAGTAGCTTAGTGGTTGCAGATTCTCCTCCAATGATGATGTCTTCGTTTGTACTGAGAAGTTAGCTAGGTTTCCAATACCAGGCACGGTTTCTCTTCTGTTGAGTGGGTCTTAAGTCCAACTAGAAAGCTGTTGGTATGTATCCCACTTCTGTGCCCTTCAGGTTATCATGCCATGCTGGTCGTTAATGTGGTTTATAGGCATCATGGCTGGGTAGGACTGTTGGTTACCTCCTTCCTTTGGAGGCTTGCATTGTGCTTTCTGGTACCATGAGAGCTAGTCCTCAGGGAAGAGGCATTCAGGTCATTTCCACTTCAGACACCTCTGGACCCTGTTTCTCAAGTGCATGATGTCCTTAGCAATGGAGACTTACCTTCCACTTCTCAGGGGGAAACCAAGGACAACAACAATAGGCTGTAATGTTTGGGAGTCTCTTGAACAGCCCTGGACAAAAAGTCAAAAAAGAGCTTTTCATGTCTGGTGTTGAGGTTTATGTTAGGTGATCTTTGGCTCTTGAAGGGAGCACCATCAACCCAGAAGAGGAAAGTTCGTTAAAACTATATATATATATATATATATATATATATATATATATATATATATATAATTATGTGTATTATAGATTTTTTTAAGGTAAATAGTTAATAGTATGAATTCTTGCAGCTTTTCAGGCTTCCTTATTGTTATTTTACTCACCTCCTTCCTTCTGTATTTACCTCCTTCTCTCTCTAAAAAGGCTCCCTTTTTCCATTTTGCCTATCAGATAACTGTATCCTGCTGTTCCCCCTTGCCCTCCTTCCACTTCTTTAGAAGTAGTTTTTAATGAAAACTAGCAGGCCGAGTCGAAAAAGTTGGTATGACAAGGCAAAGGAACCATAACAACCAAACAATTTTTAAAAAGAACAAGGTTGGAGCACTGTGTCCTTTGTTCTTTCTGACTTACTACAAGGTTGTAGCAATGAAGTGTGACTTTAAGGAATGACAACAGAAAGACTCATGGAACAGATTGAGTCTACACATATTTATTTTTTGTCAAAGATGGTTAGTCAATTAATAGATAATTTTCAACAAATAGTGTTGAAGAATTGCATGTGCCCCCGCAGACACATCAACCTCAGTCTGAACCTCACATGTTATAGAAAGTTCATTCAAAATGGATACTAAATATAAATGGAAAACCACAAACTATAAGCAAAATAGTGAAGTTTATTGTGATCTTAAATTAATGAAAGACATCTTAGATACAACGCAATACACAATTCATAAAAGGAAAACTTTGATTCTACCAAAATTCAATTCCTATTCGCTAATGTATTGTTAAAAATTAAAGCAAACACTGACATAAGCCTCATCCAAGAGAAAATGCTAGCAAATTACATGACTAATAAAGATATAGAAATATGAAAATGTCTTGAACTCAATATTAAGAAATTAAATGACAAGAAATGACCACCTCCAAAAGTGTCATATAGATGGCAACTAATCAAAAGTTGTTCATTCCTCACCTGGAAAATACAAATTAAGACTTCAGATACCTTAAAACGCCTATTAAACTGGCTAAAAACTGTTTTTAAGAATCTGAGAAGATGAAGTGTTGCCAAGGACCTAGAGCAGCTGGGACTCTTTTCTGTTGTTAGTGTAAATGCAAAGTGGTGACTGGTATCAGCAGTAGGAAGACATCACAATCACTTTGGAAAATGGCTTTCATGCTTCTTAAACAGGGAAACTACATTTGACATGCAATCCAGTAATCCTACTGATAACTATCAAGAAAATAAAAATCCATGTACATACAACTATTTATAGTGACTTTATTAATAAGCTCAAAAATTAGATACGTTATAGGGTTATGATTGCCCCTCAGTGGTAAAGTACTCACCTGCAAATTGTTAAGCACTGGATTCTATCACCAATAACATAAGAAAACAAAAAACTTGTCTGATACATACCTAATGTCTTAGTTATGGTTTCTACTGCTGTAAAGAGACACCATGATCATGGAAATGCTTATAAAAAATATTTAATCAGGGTGACTTGCTTATAGTTCAGAGGTTGAGTCCATTATCATCATGACAGGGAGCATGATGGTGTATAGGCAGACATGGTACTGGAGTAGTAGCTGAGAGTCCTATACATTGCAGGCAACAGGAAGTCAACTGAGACACTGGCTGGTATCTTGAGCATAGAAAACCTCAAAGTCCACCCCCAAAGTGACACATTTCCTCTAACAAGACCCATCCAACAAAGCCACACCTCATAAGAGTGCTACTCCCAATGAGATTATGGGGACCAATTATATTCAAACTACCAGAGCTAACAACCTATATATTACAATAGACTGAAGCCACACAGCCAAAAGCAGCTGATCACCTGAGCCCAATTTATTTTCAAAATTATGCAAAGAAAGAATTCCATGTTTCTGTTAAAATTCAGTGAACTTCCTCCATCATATCCTGCCACATGTGTTGGTATAGCATCAAAGTGATGGTTTCTTCTGACCTCTGCCCTCCATTCCCATGGCCCCTCAGGGTGGTGCTGTCACCAAGGGTCTCATGTCAGTCCCTTCCTGTCACCATGCCATTAGCTTCCTGCTACAATAAAGAACATTTTAAGGGGTTTGGAGGACATTGAAATGAAATATAAAATGGAAAGGGGGACAGTGTGATTCAGCCTACTAAGATATAAGCATAGAAATTAATTGACACAGGTGCTTTCTGCAAGGGCCCTGCTAATCTGTCTTGATTTCTGAGCCAATAGAGGTTTTCAGTACTAGAGTAGATGTGTGTGGATGCTTCTCTGTAGATGTGAGCAAATTTGTTAATTTAATCTTTACCTTGTTCTAGATCTTAACATGGGATTTGATTGATTGAGTGTGTGTGTGTGTGTGTGTGTGTGTGTGTGTGTGTGTGTGTGTGTGTACTCAGAGCCAATTCTGCCCTTGTCTAGTCTTGTTTTTTTTTTACTTTTGTCCTTGGTAAAGATTTAATAGATGCAAAATAAGATGCCTGGTGGATGGAATTTTCCTTTGCAGTCCTCTGGTCCTCACTTAGCAGGTCAAGGCTATTTAATATGGGTAGATGACAATACTCTCTTGCCTTGTCATAGGTAGAAGCAGCTCAAAAAAATGTTTGACAGAGTCAGTTTTGTCCCAGTGTCCAAGTTCTCTTCTCTTGCCCCTTACTGCTTCTTTATACTTGAAAATCTTTGTATAGCTTCTCAGCCTCACTATGATAGCCCCTTTAATCAACTCAGATCCAGCACCTCCTGTGTTCTGAGTACTACTATTCTCTCTCAACTTGAAAACATCCTCACCCTTAACTCAGGTGGTCTCAGCAAGGTTCTAAGCTTAACACTGAAGATAATCTCCTTTAGCTAATTTTCACCAAGATGAGAGTGACTTTTACCCCTGACCCTCTAAGGTAGTGGTTCTCAACCTGTGAGTCACAACCCCATTGGGGGCTGCATTTCAGATATCCTGTGTATCATGTATTTACATTATGATTTGTAAGAGTAGCAAAATTACAGTTACGAAGTAGCAACAAAATCATTTTATGGTTGGGGGTGACCACAATATGAGGAACTATATTAAAGGGTTGCAGGATAGGAAAGTTGAGAACTATTGCTCTAAGGGGACAGGATGTGGACATGCTTTTCTAAGAGATGGTGTGAGATGAGTAGGTGGGCAACCAGGCAGGCTATGACCTAGCTAGCGATTCCATTCTTACCATCCACTATGATGAGCTACTCTAACTGTTTATGACTTGTTCTCTCCACTTCTGAATTTACAAGATAGCTTTATTCTCTTACTTTCATGCTTAGAAGCATCTGTAGACACAAGGAACGTAGATTTGGTTTTGGAAAGGATTAGATGTAGTCCCAGGCCAATATCTATGTTTAAAGTGAGAGGGTGCACGTTATACATACTGCCTATAGGATGTGTTTTCAGGCTGTGTCATACACAGAACTGTATATATGTCTCTTCCCCTGTTCCTAAGAAAGTGAGTGAATGCATGTATGAGAGGAGGTTATGGGTCCCATTGTAGCATCTGGCAGTGTACCAAAAATATGCTCATCTATGTTTTTGTCTTTATATAAAGTACTTATCAAAAAGAGGCATCTTATTAGAGACTAATTAATTTTATACTGCTTTTTCTATCTTGACATCTCTATTATCTCTATTACCCAGGCTAATAACAGAACCCTACAAGAGAAGATTTTACAAATGAACAATTTGGTTGAAGCCTTTGGCAACGCCTGCACTATTATAAATGACAATTCCAGCAGATTTGGAAAATACTTAGAAATGAAATTTACCTCTTCTGGAGCTGTTGTAGGGGCACAGATTTCTGAATACCTTCTGGAGAAATCTCGTGTCATTCACCAAGCCATGTAAGTGCATATGAGACACACCTTAGTTTCTGAGTAATATGTGCAAGAACAGTGTTATATAGCTAAAGCTCTTTCTAACTCCTCAGTTTATTGATAACCTACTGTGTGTAAGGCACTTCCTATTGGAGGTAATCAGACCCTTCACCAGTGCTTTATTCTCATGTATATTAGGATCTGATAGAGGAACTAATAAATAACCTAATAATTTTGCTACTACCAAGGAGGTACTGGCATAGTGGAAAAGAGAAAGCAGGAAAACCTTATGTCTCCAGGCAAAAATCAATGAGCAACTTAATTAAAAAGAGTGGACTCTGCTTCTCTTTTAAATACAACTATCTTTCTTTTTCTAAATAAACATAGATATTTGTATTTTCTTCTTCCTGTGTTTACATAAGAAGGGCCAAATAAAACATTCAGGAATGTTCAGCTGTAGGGCTATTTTTATTACTAGTTGATTTTAAGTCATCAATATGACTCATGTTGTTTTGATATTTGATTGAGTGAGTTCCTTTTGGCAGTTTGTAACTAAATGACAAAATCTTTTCACTGTTTAATGACTTTAAAATATCCTTGATATTCTTACGAGGGAATTAGAGTTACCTGTTGGATTTGTACCCTACTGGTTTTATTATCTTTTATTTATTCTTCTCTCATGCAACACATCCTGACCGCACCGCCACTTCCCCCTCCCTCCACTCCAAGTGTAAAGTTAGAATCTCCCATGCCGATTTCATGTTAAACACGCCTTCATTCCAGTAACATGTCAGCTAAATTTATAGGAACGTCAGCTCTTGTTGATACATCTTTCATGATGCTAAGGATCAAATACAAGGCCTTGTGCATGCTAGGTGAGTTCTGTACAACCCAAACCTGATAAATACAATTTTACATGGTGGACTTTGGATGGGTGAGTCTACCCAGAGTATGACATTTAAATTTTAAGACCCTCATAGAATCTTGACTCTGTAACTTACTGTATATGTGATTCAAGGCAGTTTACTTAACATCTCTGGATCCCATTTTTTTTCAACTTTAAGGTAGAAAAACATTCATGCATCCCTGTCCATTAAGATAGTTCTTGTAGTAGAGGATTTAGCATAGTGAACGATACCTAATAAGAATGCTGTCAGTGCAGCCAAGGACATCTGTGAGTGCAGCCCATCACAAATCACAAACATACTTAAAACATTGTGAGGTGTTTTACAGATTCCATTTTGTAACTTGATTGTATAACATGAACTTTGTAGATGACACTGTTGTGTCCCAATGTCAAAAGGTTGGGCATGCCTGAACACCAGTAAAGGTTATAATGGCCGTGTTGATGGTTGCAAAGACTGGAAACAGCATCTAGTGAATTGAAGATATTTAATGAATGGCAAATGGCATTACTGATGTGTGAACAAGGCCCAGAATGATGTAGGCTCATATGTTTGCCACCTGGACATAGAGGGACCCACAGTCTTACACTTGTATATATACAACCATACCTTGGAACTCTTTATTCTCTCAAAGCAGTTTTAGCCTCACCTTCAATGGGGTGAAGAACTATGTGAGAATAACCTGCTGATATTTCAGTGGGGCCACCATGTCGCACAATGTCAAGGCACATCATTCCCGCATATTATATGGAATTATGGGTCAGAACATCACTCATCCTGAATACCATGAGACTAATACCTTCTGGAATTACACACTGAAACCCTGGGTTTGTAGCCATAAAAATAATCCCTTAATGATTATTCAAATATTATGTGTTCAAAAAACAGCACAGTTAGGATAATATTTAAGGCATGCTATGTATTCCCATAAACTTCTTTGTCTCCCGAATGACCTAAGAAACTATTCTAGTTTTACTACATTACTCATAGGGAAAAGCACTTCAAAGGCCTCAATTTGCCGTTGGGTTGAACTACAACTCAGATGAAATTGGAGCACCAATTACTTTGTAATTTCTATAGAATAGCTTTTTCATTTTATGCGTATTTTTATGATCCTATTTGTCATTTTTACTCTCTTAAGAATTTGCTTACAATTTTACACATGGATATAACATTCTGTGATCAAAGCCTCCCATTATTCTCTCTTATCCCTTTCACTCTCACCAAAGTCTTTCTTCTTCCCAGTGCCCCTCCAGTGTTCATGTCTTGTGTGTGTATGTGTGAGACCCACTGTGTTTTGGGTTGCCTGCTTAAGCATGAATGAGAGTCATTTGCTTCAGTGGGTGCAATGTTCTAGTGTCTGCACCACTGAGGAATAGGATTGCCCCTCCCCCTGCATCCTTTGAGTGTTTATAGCATTATGAGCCCTGTAGCAAGGCAGAAAGTATAGGTGGGATAAACAGACAAGGAGAATTCTGAAAAGAGGAAGGCTGAGTCGGGAGACACCAGCGAGCCACCCAAAGAGCAACATGTAATGGGATAGAAGTAAAGCCATGGAACACGTGACAACATATAGATGAACAGAAATGGGCTGAGTTTAAGTGTAAGAGCTAGTCGGCGGTAGGTCTGAGCTAATGGCTGAGCAGTTTTAATTAATATAAGCCTCTGTGTTTACTTGGGGGACATGAGTGGGAAAGATTTGCCCGGACCGCGGGCCAGGTGGGACCCAAAAACATTCGTCTACAGGGGAGCTTCTTATGTGTGTTTTGGGGATTCAAATTTAAATTCTCATGCTCATACAGCAAGCGCTCTTCCCCATTGAGCCTCTTCCCAGCTCCGTAGGTATGTTTTTTTTTAATTATGAATTTCAGTAGACTATCAGTCATGATTATGAAGAAGAAAGAACAAGTTCAAAGGGTTTAACTGAAAACCCTATTTACAAAGATATAATATGTATCAAAGAATCAAGAATGAATGCTTAGCCTAGGCTGAATAGTTAGTCCAGATTAACAAGGGCAAAAAACCATTTGTACCCCAAGGCTTTGGGGACCAGGGGAAAGAAAGCATCACAGAGCCTGAGGACAGCCACAGCTGAGAACGGGGGCTGCCTGTAGGCCCAGAAGACTGCATCCTCTACCTAATAGACTGTGACTAGATAGATCCTTCACTTACCTCCTCTCTCCACAAGCCAGAGAACAAGGGATTCGGGTCCTGCAGTCTGCAGAGCTGAGTGCTGGGAGTTGGGGGTCATAAACAAAGCAGAGAGGCTTGGAGAGCCAATCTGGGAAGCAGGGAGGAACCAGAGCAGACATGTATCTTTTTTAACGAGCCTACCCTTTCTTTTAAGAGGATTGATTTTTTTCCTTCCACTTCCTCTGCCTGGTTCTGCCCGCCTCAGTCTCTGACTGCTTTTATCTTTAGAGTGCCTTTGTCGTGATGGCGAACTAATAGCTGTGACTTAAGCCCTTTGTTAAATGCAGGCGATTTTAAGGCAAGATATTTAAAAGGAGGCTGCTTGAGAGAAAATGAGCACATTGGAGACAATGCTGGATAATTCTCATAAATATAAATTATAGCTCTATCTGCGAGTTTCCTTCTGTTGCGACTAGAGTTCAGCAAGCATTGATTGCATGACTCTCCCACATCAGCCCTTTACAAGACTCCCTAAGAGTCATAAACAAACTGGCAGGCGTGTTCTCTTCTGTTATGGGCCAGTGGGGCACTGTGCTAAGCACATCACTGCCTTTGTGTCTCTTACTGGCTGTATTGTCTCTTTCACACAAGAGGAAACAGACTGAGAGAACAAGCCAATCAATGCCAAAAGCTGAAGTTTGAACCTTGTTCTCTGGGTAGCTTCCAAGCCCCATATTAATTAATTAATTAATTAATTCACTCATCTACTTGATGAGTATTTACTGAATGTCTATGTGTGCTACATACAATACAGGAGACTTAAAGATAACTAAGATTTAGGGAGGGCGCATTAGTTCATGATTTCCTAAGAATTCTTTGTGCCTTGATTCAAACCCATTGTCATTCAGTCTAGTCTCTTAGGAAAATGAGAGATGAGTTCAGCTGCTGAGAATGAGATGGTAAATCACAAGGAGAAAGATGGAAGAGACGTGGTGCCCATGGGGAAGAAGTTCTAACTGAACAAAATAAAACTGATAATACTGTTGCTGTATGTATGTGCTGTGGAGCTTTGGTTATGCAAAGCCTTATCATCAGCCTTCTGGCATCTTCAGCAAAGATTCAGAGGTGTCACGGATGAGTTAAACCACATTACTGAGGATTTTGCCACAGTTTAGAAGGTATTAGGAACTTTTGTTTCATGGTGAATCCTCACAGTTCAAGGCCACTGAACCCACATAAAATCACCCTGAGGGCATTCATTCATACAAGTGGTAGAGTAGAACTCCAAAAAAAAATAGCTGAGGATCAGTTAAAAAAAAAAAAACAGTAGAACTGGGGTCAGAGAAACACCATTTGTACTTCACTGAGACCCTGCATTTGTCCTGAGAGCACTGACCTGGGAACAGCATGTGTGCTATGTGACACTCAGTCTTGAAGGGCATATTTGATGTGGTTTGGGGCACGACCCGAGACAAGTAGCCTTTGGAGCTAGGTTTTTTTGTGTTGCTTTAACTCTCTGGTTGTCTATTTGCTGAAGGTCAGTGCACTTCCCGTAGTAACTCCAGGCCTTGTAAAATTATAGTCTCGGTACATGTAAACTGATAATGGTAGAGAAATCTGCTCAATTTGCGTGTCTACATTTATGAGTCACTTCACTAATTACACATTGCATCATCGAAGTGCTTTAAGAGGTGACATGCAGAGCCATCAATGTGGTGCCCAGAGAAGAAAGCAAATAAATTACATGGTGTGCTAATCCTAGAGAAGCTTTAGTGTTGGTGGTGCTGGATAGATGAGAACTGAACCAAGCTTATGGTTTTGTTCTAACTTTTAAAAAATTAATGTATTCTTTGACAGTTTCATACCACTGTATAATGCATTCTGGTCACACTCACCCTGCACCCTTCCTTCACCCCAGTAAGTCCCCCAGCCACTTTCATGTCTTAATGGTTCCTTCTGCTAAATACGAGGTGGTCTGTAGTAGACTTCTTGACGTCTCGGTGGTGTCTGCAACAAGCGACAGATGGCGGAAGGATGTGCAGGCTGGGTGTATCTCAGCGGCATAGTGCTTACCTAGCATGCCCGAGGCCCTTGACTCCATCTCTACGCTGCTCAAAATTAATTTAAGTCAAAAGGTTTACAGTAAAGATTATGTCCATGCTTGGGTCAGCAGCCAGCCTTAAAACCCCGTCTTCTTCTTCCGCTGCCTGGATCCTCCCAATTTCCTCTCCTTTCTGTGTGATACATTTTCTTCTCATAAATTCATCCATCCATTCTTAAAATATATACTTACCAAGATTTGTCATTGAGGAGTTTTCCTTTTGCTCTCTGCTGTCATTTCACAACCTCTTTGACAGCATGATTTCATTTAGTTCTGTGAAATCAGCACCCAAATATGTACGTTTTACTCTCTCCTGAGTTTGCTTTTCTGTTTTGATCACCCACATGTCTTTTACTTCATTTCAACTGAACTCATCCCACCCCTGTGTTTTTCCTGTAGTCTCTCTCCCTTCAAGCTATCCCTATACCTGTGGAAAATCTAACCTTCAAAACCTTTGCATATCTACACACATATGCTTCAGTTAACATTTATTCTAAGGAAAATTTCCATATAATGGAAGAGTAAATCATTTTAAAAGGCTAGGTATGGTGATGCATGCTTTAATCCCAAGCATTGTAGAGGCTAAGGCAGATGTATTGTGAATGCAGGCTAACTTTGGGGACATAGTCAGACCCCTCAAAAATAACAACCACAACAATAATAATATCCAAAAAGAAAATTTTCTGTCTCCATCAAGAGTGTACTAGAGAAAGAAGTAGGAGAGTTTCAAAGACCTTTCTGATATTTTTGGTAAAACAATTTATGTAGAACTACACATTAAAAAGTATGACATCTCTGTTTTCATGGTCTTCATGTGGAAAAGCTTTAAAACAAATTCTCTTGTTCAGATAAAAGTATCAACCTGATAGTTAGCTTTCATTTTCTAACTCTTTCATTGGCCCCTAAGCCCGATGGACACCACTGTGAAGTGGTGAAATTCACAGGGAGCAAGAGGGTGACAAGCTGCTTTGGCATTTATGTCTGGAGAACAATGACAGAAAGGGACCCTAAGCCCAGTCAGACCACCGCCATGGTGTCATGGAGGAGAAAATCCACAGTAGTACTGTAGTCTAATGACTCAACCACTGTGGAAATGGCTAGAGATTTGTGAAAGGTTAAGTTTTATGCTAACTGGAAGAAGAAGGAAAAGGAGAAGAATAGGGAGACATGGACATAACTCCTGGGCCTCCCACTTTTAGCCTGGTGACAATAGGAGGGATAATCAGGATTTAGGAACATCCTAAAATAAGGAAGTTGAGTAGGAAAACAAGAACATGAATGCCAGGGAGAGGCAAATCCCAGCCCTGCCTAGATGGCCACTGCGGTTATCGGGGTGAAATCAGAGCATGGTCACAAGGGGACTTAGAAAGAGAGCAATGTGAAGCCACGTGCCTCTTCCTCTGTTTTGTAGAGGGGGAATTCTGAGTAAAGGAGCAGAGGGACATGGGACCCTAAGGTCCCAACCAGCATGCTATGGAACATCCTGAACCAGAGACTCATCCCTGCTACCTTAGCTGAATTTCTCCAGCACCTGGAGAGTACTCTTCATACTTAGAAATTATTAAGAGATGCCTCACATATATGGGGAAGCCGAGCCTAATAAGGTTAAAAGATGGAGGAGATGTAGCCACTGCAGTCAGATGGATCTGGTCTGAATGCAGGAGAGCCATCAGTTCTGTGATTCTGCTTGAGATGGGGAGCACTAAGCTTTAGTTTCTTGAATATGTAAAGTGGAAAAACCATGCCTAACCCAAGGACTTGCAGAGGATAATGGAGATAATTTAGCACTTACCTCTACTTGGCAGGCTGTGCATCTTATTTCTCTTGCTGGCCATTCCTACTGACATACAGAGTCCTAGAAGTTAAACATTTCTGACTATGTCATTCCTTTTGTGTTCCTGGTACCTAGAAAAATTCCTGGAAAGTCACTCATAAACGTCATGATGTTTAGAGCTACCACTAATGATGCTGATAGTTGAAAATAATGGCATTGGCGACGCAAAGCCAGAATGCAATGTTCAAGGAAGCCCATGTGGGCAATAACAGCTGTTAATTATTCTAACAATAGTATTGGTGAGTCATTTTAACACTTAATAAATGTCCTTATTAACCATCTTCCTGAAAATGTCTTATTTTTTCAGTGGAGAAAAAAATTTTCATATTTTTTACTACATTTATGCTGGGTTAGCGGAAAAGAAGAAACTAGCCCTTTACAAATTGCCTGAAAACAAGCCGCCCAGGTAATACACCGGGTTCTACTGTGATGATGTTTTCTTTCCTGATGATGCAATTTTAGATTTTTATCCTTCCTCTCATACTTTCTTCAGATACTTGCAAAATGACCACCTCAGAACAGTGCAGGACATGATGAATAATAGTTTCTATAAATCCCAGTATGAACTAATTGAACAATGTTTCAAAGTCATCGGTTTTACAATGGAGGTAAGTACCAAAGACATTGGAACCACTTTTGTAGTATCTTTTTAAAAGTCCTCATTAACTTTGAGAATTAGCTAACTCACTAACTGGTTAATATGTTACAGGAACTATGCTCAGCGCTTTACACAGCAGTCATTCCCATTATATGTGTGTGGGGATGGGGTGGGTATTTCTCTGTATGTGTGGGGTACATACACATATGAATGCGGGTGTGTGTAGAGGCCCAAAGTCAAGGTCAGGTGTCATTACTTGATGGATCTCTGCCTGTGCTTTGAGACAGGGTCTCTCATTGGACCAGAAGCCCATCAATTTGATTATCCTGGCTGGTAGATGAACTTCAGGGATCCTCCTGCCTCCAACCCCCACTGTGGCCAAGATTGGGTTACCAGCGTACACTGCCATGTGAGGCTTTTGTATATATGGGTTCTGGGGAGGGTTTCTCATGTTTGCAGCAGGTACCTCACCAACAGAACCATCTCCTCAGCCTCAATATAAAGTCTTTTTATCATGTTTCTGATTCTTCCATAAGTGCCTAGTTATATTTTTATGTTCTTTTTAGTTACTTGAATTTTGTGGGGATAGCAACTCACATTTAAGCCATAGATTTAATTGCCGAATTTTCTTATGCTATTTAAATTTATCTGGTGTCTCTATATTTACTTCCTTTAAATTTTTATATTTCAGTTTTTTTTAAATGTTTATAGGTGGCATACAAATTATTAGATTTCATTGTAACATTTTCATAATACATTGATCTCCTTTCCCCCACTGCCCTCTTGCTGATCCCCCTCATCCCTCCACCTCCTCCCTCCTGCTTTTCCATGCCTTCTATTCCATTGTTCTCCCTTCAACCCTCACCTGCTTTCATGTACACTTCTTCTCCCTCCCATCATAGCCCTCTTTCTACATTTGTTTTTCACATGAACACACATAGGCACCTGCATGTTTATATAAATTTAAATCTAAACCCCACACGTGAGAGTTATTTTATCTTTCTGAGTCTACCTATGTTGTTTAGCATAATGACCATTCCATATCTTCCAAATAGCATAAATTTATTCTTTTGACAACTGTTTATACAATTCGTTAGCCTATTTCTTGGTTGATTTATATTTGGGGTTGAAGTTCTACAGTTCTCTGTGGAGTGTAGATATTAATCCCTTTCTAATGTATAGTTGGCAATTTTCCCCCCAATTTGTAGACTGTCTCATTTTATTTGCTGTGCAGAACCTTTTAGTGTCATGCAACCTACCTGTCAATTTATAGGGTTATTTCCTGTGAGTTGGAGTCCTTTACATAAAGGCTTTGCTGTGCCTGTGTGTTAACATGTTTTGCTTCTAGTTGTTTCAGAATTGCAGGTCTTATATCTTTGATCAAGTGTAAACTGATTTGGGGTAGGTAAGACATAGAAATCTATTTTTATTGATGTACGTGTGGAAATACAGTTCCCCCGGCATCATTTCAAGAGCTCATCTCACTTTTGACACCCTTTTTAAAAAGTAGGTGTCTGCAGCTGCTGAGGCTATTTCTGAGACCCTTGTTCTATTCTATTAGTCTATGCTTATTTTTGTGCAGTTGCCTTACAGGTTTTGTTACTGTGGCCCTGTGATGTAATTTGAGGTTTTAATGTCTTGGTTTTTGTGCTTCTATCTTATTTGTTGTTTGGGCTCATTTCTCTTTTTACGTGAATTTTAGGATTATTTTTCCAAATATGGTAAAGAATGTCAATGGGATTTTTATGGGGATTGTGTTGAATCTGTAGATTATTTTTGGTAATAGGCCATTTCACAATCAACTGTGCCCATCCATGATTATGGAGATCTTTTCATCTTTTAGCATTTTACTTAATTCCTTCAGTTTCTCAAAGTTTGCATTGTAGAGGTCTTTTACCTCTTTGGTTATACTTATCCTGAAGTATTTTCTGTTTGTTTTGCTGAAGTAACAAATGAGATTAGCTTACTGATTTCCTTTTTGCCAGATTTGTTCTTGGAATATAGAAGAGCTGGTAGTTTTCTGATATTAGTTATGCATCTTGCTACTTCAGTGAAAATATTTATCAGACCTAAACGGTTTTTTTTGTGGACTCTTTAGACCGTTTAAGGATATGATCATGTTGTCTACAAATGAGGGTAATTTTTCTTCTTCCATTCCAGCTTATATCTGTTTTATTTCTTTTTCTTGTCTTATTGCTCTTTGAGCATTTGATTGGACAGCTTTGCTTCATTCCTGATTTAAAAACAAATCCTTACAATTTTCTTCATTTAATATGTTAGTTATAGGTTTGTCATAGGTATTGTTTATGATGTTCAAATACATACCTACCACTTCTAGTTTCTTTGAGGTTTTGTTTATTCCAAGAGAAGGACATGTGATGGACTTTGTTAAAGGCCTTTTTTGCTTCTACTGAAATATAATGATTTTTCAGTGATTTCAATTCTTAAGTTCATGTGCTGTGTTACATTTCTTGAGTTGTCTATGGTGACCTGTCTTCCCATCTCTAGAATGAAACCAACGTGTTCATGGTGTACTGGCTTAGTGAATTTGGCTTGCAGAAATTTTGTTGATAATGTTCACCCCTATTAATATCTCCTTAGGGAATTTAGTCTATAGTTTTCTTTTTGTGGTTGTGTCCATTTTCAGTTTGATATTAGCATAATGCTGACTCCATAGCATGACTTTGGCAATGTTTCTATTATGGAACAGTTTGGAAAGCAATGATGTTAACTCTTCCTTAAAGGTTTGGTAAAATTTTGCAATGAATCCTTCCAGTGTGTACTTAGGGTTTTCTTTATTGGAAGAGTTTTTATTATTGCTTCAATGTCATTACTTGCTGTGGATGTGCTTGTTTTGTATATATCTTCTTGATTTAATTTTTGTATGTCATATTGTGCATGGGAGTTTATCTTTTTCTTCTAGGTTCTCTAAGTATTTTGGTGTAAACAGATGTTTCTTTCCCTCCTGCCAATTCCCAAATAGCCACTCAGAGGCTTATATTACTTATAAATGCTTGGCTGATAGTTCAGGCTTATTACTAGCTAACTCTTACATTTAAATTAACCAATATTTCTTATGTATTGCTTTGCCACGTGGCTTGGTACCTTTTCTCAGTACGGCATGCCCATCTTGCTTCTCCACATTTCCTTGTGTCTCCACTGACTCCACCTTTCCTCTTCCCATCATTCTCTCTGTGTCAGGCTGTCTCACTTAATCTCTTCTTGTCCTGCTATCAGCCAATCAGTTTTTTATTAACAATGAGCATAATCCACAGCATTTTGGAATATTAATTTTCAAGGTATTACTTACTGATCCTCTGGATTTCATTGGAATCTATTGAAATTCCCATCCCTTTCACCTCTAATTGTCTAACTTTGGAACATCTTTCTTTTGGCTAATTTATCTAGGAGTTTACCATCTTGTTTATCTTTTTTCAAAGAACCAATTCACTGATTGGTTCTATATAGTCAATATATTCTATATATTATACTTTTAGTCTCCCATTTATTAATTTCTGTCTTGACCATTATTATCTGTTTACATTGACTGCTTTGGAGTATCTGCTCTTCTTGTTTTTATAGCACCCTGGTATGCATCATTAAGTTATCTATTTGAGATCTATCTAATTTTTATAGCTATAAATTTTCTTAGAATTGCCTTAGCTGTAGCCTAAATGTTCTGGTAATTTGTGCTTTTATTTTTATTTGACTCTATTTTTTATTTTCTCCTCCCCATTGTTTTTTTTTTTCAGTGATTCACTGGTCATTCAAGAACATGTTGTTCAGTTTTCATGCATTTATATAGTTTCTCTTCCTGTTTATTCCTGGTTTTATCTTCATTGTAATATGATAAGGCATAAGAAATTATTTGATTATTTTATATTTGTTAAGACTTGATTTATGATGTGATCAATTTTAGAAAGGACTCAATGGACTCCTGAGGAGACTCTGTTTAACTAAATATTCTGTATGCATTTATCAATTCTGTTTCCCTGGGATGAGGCTTCTGATTCTCCATCCCCCACCAGGGAGCTGTGAGACCCTCAGCCTGGCTTACTTCTTTCAGTGTTTGATGCCTGTCATTTTCTCTCTGGTTTTCAAAGTGATTTCTCTCTTTGACCCTTCCTCACTGTATCAGTAGGAGGCAGTTTCTGGCCCCTAATACTATTTAGACTATATTTCGTTTCAAATTCTCCACATGTGTAGGCTTTGTTATTGTTTCCTTTTGTCTTTGATTGTACTTACACAAGGTTTTAAGTTTTGTTTTGTTTTTAATTGTGTTTGTGTTTGTGTGTGTGTATGTGTGTGTGTAAGATGTTGTACCTGTATGTATGTGTGAGTGTGCACATGCCACAATACATGTGCAGAGGTCACTGGACAACCTTGGGTGTTGTTGGTCCTAGCTCTTCCAGCTTGCTTGATAGAGAGATTCTCTCTTGTCCACTGCCACACAGCTAGCACTGGGGAGGCAGAGGCAGGGGAATCAGGACTTTGAAGCCAGCTTAGGCTGCATAGTGAGACCCTGTCTCAAAAACCGAATAGGGCAGAGGAGATTGCTCAACAGGTAGGAGCACTAGTGGACAAGCGTGAGGACCTGAGTTCAGATCTCCAGAACCCACATAAAAAGCAAGGTGTAGTCATGTGGACCTGTGATACTAGCACTGTGAGGGGCAGAGACAAGAGGATATCTATCTGGGGATCGCTGGCCACCAGCCTAGCTCCAGGTCCACAGAGACCCTGGCTCAAGGGAGTAAGGTTGAGAGTGACAGAACAAGACACCTGATGTCCTCCCAGGTCTCCACATGCGCACACGCGAGTGAATGCACACACACACACACACACACACACACACACACACACATACACACACACACACATACACACACAAACACACACACACATACACAAATAAGTAAATACTAGTATTTTTAAAGATGTATGTGGTCAGCAGAGAGAAAAGTTGGTCACTAAGAGCAATCTCCAAATGTGGATCTTCTGCTGCTGTGTCAC